TTACTCCACCCACCTATGTTCTAACCAATAAAATGGGCCAAGGCAGTTTCTTTATTAGTAAGAAATCACTCCCACACCACATATTTGGTTCTTGAGGAGCCAGAACAGGGCACCTAGTCCTCTAGAACCGGAATTACAGATAGTTGGGTATTGACATGTGGGCTATGGGAACTGGACCCTGGTCCTCTGCAAAAGCAGCAGCTGCTCTAAACTGCTGAGTCATCTCTCCAGATCCTTTATCTTTGTTTTTTGTTTGTGTGTGTGTTTGTTTTGTTTGTTTGCTTTTTGAGACCGGGTTTCTCTATAGCTTTGGAACCTGTCCTGGAACTCACTCTGTAGACCAGGCTGGCCTGGAACTCATAGAGATCCACCTGCCTCTGCCTCCCGAGAGCTGGATTAAAGGTGTGCGCATCATCACTGCCCAACTATCTTTGTTTTAAGATGGGAGTTTTCCACTGATGAATTGTTTCCCATATAATAGTTATATTAATAAAGTTTTTTTTGTCAAGTATACTGTCAGACATTGTAATCCTCTTAACGACTAGAGGGCCAGCAATTCCTCATTCGTGCATTTGTTACTCAGTTAACTGTGGCCCTGGAATAGGCTGGTTATGCTGTATCAGCTAACAAAATTCAAGTATGTGAAGTGAGTTTTCCTCCTCTTGTCCTGCTTGCTGATATCTGAATTGGACATAGTAGTGCATGTCTCTACCCTCAATACTCAGAAGGCTCAGGCCAGCTGGATAATAGCACAAGAACGCCTCAAAGGAAAAAAAATTGAAATGGGTCTTAATGCCGAGAGACCCTTTTTCCCATGGAGAAAACCCTACTGTGCCAATTCCCTACGTGCTTCTCTTCCTCACAGAACTCTTCTGCCCTCAAGACCGTTGTGGGTCAGACAACCACTTGAAAATGCCCTATCTTCTTTTGCTCCCCTGACGAGAGTTTGTGAATCATTTGAGGGGGCCCGGCAGGGTGGAAAACAGACAGCTGATAGGTAAAATCTTGCACCCTATTGACTTTGGCCTCAAAAGTCCACATGTTGCCTATAGCTTTGGGATGACCAATCTGTACCTTCAGCTCTCTCCTTTCACTTCTAGCTACTGTGAGTGGGTTTTAAGGCTGCAGGTATTAAAGGAAGGACAGGTTTGGGGACTTTTGGTTCTTCATGACCAAACACTAAGCTTGAGCCACAGGACCACATCACTCTGATGTGCAAGTTCAGGAACCCCAGGTGCAGACCCCCAGATCTGTCTAGGAGTTCAACTACCTGTGTCCACAGTTTCTTTCCAGACAACCTCAAGAACTTCTTGTTTGGGGGAAGGGAGTAGAAATGAGATCTTTTCTGTGCTTATAAGAACAGGGCAGGGAACCCTGATTGCTCTTTGGGCTGACGAGGGAGGGGGACTTGATTGGGGGAGGGGGGGAAAGGGGAGGCGGCGGTGGGGAAGAGACAGAAATCTTAAATAAATAAATAAATAAATAAATAAATAAATAAATAAACACCTCTAGTGGGCTGGAGAGATGGCTCAGTGGTTAAGAGCAATGCCTGCTCTTCCAAAGGTCCTGAGTTCAATTCCCAGCAACCACATGGTGGCTCACAACCATCTGTAAAGAGGTCTGCTGCCCTCTTCTGGCTGCAGACACACACAGACAGAATATTGTATACAAAATAAGTAAATAAATAAATATTTTTTTTTAAAAAGAACACCTCTAAGTGACAAGATTGGCTGCCCATATTCGCGTCAGATTATACAGTTTAAAACAATTATTATCATTACTATTACCCTATGCTTGTGTGAATGCAGGGCTGCCATGGAGGTCAGATGGTAGTTTTGGGGAATCATCTCTCACCTTCCACTTTGAGGCAGGGGCTCCCTAATTTCTGCTGCCGTTCTGCATACTCCAGCCCAGCTGGTCTGAGACCTTCTTGTCCGCTTCTCACCTCACCATTGCAGAGCTGGGACTACAGATGCATGCCACCGCACTTGGCTTCTATGTGGGTACCAGGGATGGAACTCAGATCACCAGGCTTGGTAGCAAAGCACTTTGCCCGCTGAGCCATCTCGCTGGCCCCAGATTGTATTCTCCTTTGGAATGGTTCATTTCCATTGCCATCTATCACCCTGCCGAATGCCTGTGAAGGCAGTGATGGCTGTACTGACTTGAGGTTAGTGACAGGAGTGGCTTCGGCCACTGGAATCTGTGTGGATGGGCCATAATACATCAGTGTTACAATGTGACACGTGTGACACGTAGCTTTAAGCAGCTCCACTAGCTTCCACTAACACCTCCGATCCTCTCATTTGTTTCAAGAATGGTCCATGTCCTATAAAGGTGTGCCTTTGGCCAGCACACCTTCAGCACACGATCACACTTGTGGCTGCAGCCTCAAGTCATTGACATTTGTTTTTGTCCTGCAGTAAAATAGGTTTGTGACCTATTTCTTTTTCATTTATTTATTTATTTGATCCAGTGATTCTCAACAAAAGTTCTGACTTATGCAGGCATTGTCTCTGCCATGAGACTTACCGGCCTATGAAACAAGTATCTTCGGATTGCCTACCTTTTCCTGGGCCAGGGAAGGAAATGATTTAGCTGTCTGAGGTGAGTGTACGGTCATGAGTAGCAAATATGGAATACTGAATGTCTGTGTAAGTACGAGCTAGAGAGTGAGGTCCCTACATTCGGTTTCTAAATTTTTATCCTGACATCTATATATGCATAAAACCATAAACTGAAAACTGACGTGGGATTCCCCTCTGTATGCTGTGATTGCCATTCGTTAATAAAGGAACTGCTTTGGGCCTATAGCAGAGCTATAGGGGAACAGAGCTAGGCGGGAGAAAACTAAACTGAATGCTGGGAGAAAGGAGGCAGAGAGAAGAAGCCATGGAGCTGCTGCCAGAGACAGACGCACTGAAACTTTGCTGGTAGGCCACGACCTCGTGTTTATGCACAGAGTAATAGGAATGGGTTAAATTAAGATGTAAGAGTTAGCAAATAAGAAACTGGCCAAACAGTGTTTTAAATAATATGGTTTCTGGGGGCTGGAGAGATGGCTCGGTGGTTAAGAGCACTGCCTGCTCTTCCAGAGGTCCTGAGTTCAATTCCCAGCAACCACATGGTGGCTCCCAACCATCTGTAATGGGGTCTGGCGCCCTCCTCTGGCGTGTGGGTATACATGGAGGCAGAAAGTTGTATACATAATAAATAAGTAAATCTTTAAAAAAAATAAATAATATGGTTTCTGTGTGATTATTTTAGGGCTGAGTAGCTATGAACCAACAAGCAGTCCCCCTCCTTACAACAGAAAACCCCAAGACCTGTTTTTTCCCACACTCAAGGAGTTTAAGGCAAAAAAAAAAAAATGAGTTTAAGGCATTTGGCGAATATAAGAAATGAAAAACGTGGGGAATGGACACAGTGGCTTCTTGTGCAGTGCCTTGAGAGCACCATGGAAGCTTGAGAGAGGTGGCAGAGGACAGCGGGGGTGGACGGGACAGTGTGGACAAGGAGAAAGGCATTTCACTCAGGGCAAGCTGAGTTAAATCACAGAGGTAGTGTGAGATCCTGGGCCTGGGGTGCACAGGACACTGACTGTCAATCTGATTTAAAACCATTTCTGGACTTGTGGGTGGGAGTGTTCCTAGATTAGACTAACAGAATGTAGGTGGCGGCATTCCATGGCTCCTCCAGGCTTCCTTACTACAGGCTGGTACGACCAGCCGCCCCACTCGTGCCCTCATGCCTTCCCTGATGTGATGAACTGTGTCCTCAAACTATGGGCCCAAACTAACCTTTCTTTTCTTCAGTTGCTTTTGTTAGCCATTTTGTCATAAGACATGATATCTACCTACTACAGGCCTGGGCGTGGAAGTGAGGACGAGGGCTGTTGGATGAGAAAGGTCAGCCAGGGCCCCGGCACGATCCCTGGTGACGGCCAAGTGCTCAGACTGGCTGAGGCCTTACAGGAAATGCATTTCCACGCTGTCATTTTAAAGACAAGCTACGCGATATTTTCACATATACTGACCATGCACTAACCACATCTGGACGGTGGAGTACTTTCCCCGATGGCTGGTGCACACTAGCTAGCTTCGTGTGTCTGCTGAACAGCCCTCGAATATTCAAGGGCACATCTTAGCAGACCTCCTTGGCATTTTAGTTTATGATTACACAATAACCGCACACAATATGAAAGTACTTGATGCTGAGAAACCATACTCTGCCGATGGTAAAGGGAAAATTTGTGTCATGTTGTCCAAGGAGAAAAACCCGGCACCACACAAGTAATCACATGCAGAATTAGAAGGTACGGTGCCAGCAGAACCATGGCTGCGATCCATTTTAGCATCTCTCTTGAAGATGTTCTGTGGTCCGTCTGGTTCTGCAGGTGAGGCTGCGAGGGTCAGGAGGAAGTGTCCCTCATCTCTGACCGCCTTGAGCAGGTAGGTGAGCAGAGGTCCTCAGTGCGGACTCTGCAATTCTGTGAGGCCTGAGCAGCGCCGCTTCCCTACATCTCGGGGCGGGGGCGCAGGGAGTGTAGTTTCGAGGTACCAGACGAGAATCTCCGCCCTCCTACCAGGCTGTGCCAGGCTTCTGCCTGCATCGCTGTCAGGGTAGGTGGGGCAGCCCCGAGGAGCCACCCGTGCCCGGGTAATGTACCCTCTCGTGTCACCGTCCCGCACCTGCCCCGCGCCCCGGGTCTGCGGGAGCCGCTGGGGCCCATGCACATGCGCAGTGGCAGCGCCGGGAGCCCTGCCTCCGCCTCCGCCGCCGCCTCCCGGTTCCGCAGTCACTTCCTGCAGCTGTTTCCCTGTGGCTCCGATCCGACCGACTTTTGACAGTCAACCTCCAGCGGCGGAGCGGCCGGGCGGCGGCGGCGAGCGCACCAAGTGGTCGTGGAGCCGCGCACCGGCGCGCGGGGGGTGGCGGGGGCGGCGGCGGCCTGCCGGTTCCGGTGAGTGCGGAGGAGCGCGGGTCCGCGCGGCTGCGTCCGTGTGCGCGTGTCAGCCTCGGCCGCCCGCGGCGACCGGCGGGCCCCCGAGCCTGATCCCGCAGCCGTTCGCGCAGCCGCCTCGGCGACTGGGTGCTCCCTGCCGGCATCCGCGCGGGACCGGAGTGCGTGTGTGCGCGCCCAGCCCAGGAATGGCTTGGGTGGGGGCGATGCTGCAGGGGCGCAGCTTTGAGTCCTAAGAGCGGAGCCCGGGTCGCCGGGGCCTCCTTCCCATCTCAGCCTCCTTCTGTGATGTAAAACAGCCTCCGGAACTCTTTTTTCTCTGCTTGCCGCGTTCTGGTGACCTCTGAGTAAGGTTCTCTCTTCTCTTCTCCAGAATACCCAGGGACAGCCTTCCCTACTTTAAGCGGAAGCCAGGAACCTGTTCCTGGATTTTCTTCTTTTCCTTGGGTCCATTTCTGCCACGGGGAGGGCTGTTTGCGATACAACCCGGGAGGAGTAGGCCCCAGCCCAGCCATGGAAACGTGTGCTGTGGTCATTCATTTCGCTTAAACCGGTACATGGTGGAGCTGTGATTTTTCTTGGTGTCTTCTCAGCTCCCTTCCAAATTAGGACATCAAGCCCTGTGCATCCTTCATGTATGCCAATGCATACGTCCAATCGGATGGATTTTAAGATCTGAGAAGTATTTTTATATCGGCTTCTAAATTAGTCTCTTAAATTAATGCAGCAGTCTGAACGGTTTGCATTTTGATCCGTGTGTTTTGGGTCTCTGTATTTTACAGTTTGTGCGTTCACTGACGTTTTGGTTTTATTTATTACTCAAATGCAATACCTGTTGTGATTGATGCCAATAGATTTTTTTTGAGAGGGGATTAGCTTTATGTTGGTTATATATAACAGCAGTGTTTCTGAGGTCTCTATCCTTTCTTTGAACATTATGAAGATAAAATGTAGTGATAGGTAAGCCTGCACTGTAAATGCCCCCACCCCACCCCCACCGGTGTTTTGCTCTGGAATTAGGCCTTTTGTGCCTCTGTCCTGAGGAGGCCCTTGCTTCTGCTGGAAAGCACTGTGTCACAGTGGGGGCAACGCCTGCTGGGTTTCCTCAGGTGGGAGTAAGCGTGCAAGAGACAAGCCCAGGCATGCCTGGCTGTGGGTTGCTTCACTTTTCTGTGTCTGTTGCTGATTTTCTTTATCGGATGTTTTGGTACCCTGCTCTGTCCTTTCTCCATGACCCGCCAGCATCCATGACCTAACCGAATCTGTGTGACAAGTTAGTGAGTGACATGGTCAGTTATGACTGAGTAAACTATTTTAAAAGTTGGTTTTGCTTCCTTAGGTTCGTTGCCCACCTCCATAATCACCTTTGCTTTTTGGATGTCTTTTATTTAGTTGGGAGAAATAATATTGTTTCAGAGAAGCTTATTGTTTCAATGTTCCAAATCTGTATCCCTTTTCTTTGTGTTTCCAGAGATATGGGCGGTTGAATATTCTCCCTTTCTAGCTATTACAAGTAAACAATAAGTACTGTGTATTTCTACGACTAACCATCTCTTCATCTTGAGGCTCCTCCTCACTGTGTGTCTACCAAATGTGCTAACTTTTACTTTTTAAAGAGCCCTTGAGTTGTTTTAGTAAACCTGCTACTGCCCTAGCTCACACATCTTCATCACAGATGGCAACCTCAGCAGCCGAAGACACCACATCCTATTGACCAAGAAAAGTTTTTAACAATACTGGGAGTGGAGGAAAGTGTAGACTTTGAATGAGGATTCTAATTTAGATAATTAGAACCTGGACTACTTGAAGATGTTACCGTGGTACATTTTTTTAGGTGGTTAGGACTAAAAGATGCAGGAGTAGAATTAAAGAGGGAGTGGGACATATTGGGTCGTTTTAGTTTTTCGAGACAGGGTTTCTCTGTGTATCTTTGGCTGTCCTGGAACTCACTCTGTAGACTAGGCTGGCCTTGAACTCAGAGATTTGCCTGCTTCTGCCTCCCAAGGGCTGGGATAAAAGGCACCACCACTGCCCGGCCATAGTGGGTCTTGTCTGAGGAAAATAGAATAGAGTGTCTTGGTTTTCTTTTTTCGTTGGTATGATAAAATACCCTGGCAGAAGTCACTTAAGGGAGAAAGAGTTTATCTATTTTGTCTGACAGTTTAAGGCACAGTTACCATAGTGGGGTAGTCTAGGCAGCAGGAGCCCTAGGCAGCTGCTCACGCTGTCATGGTAGGCGGTCTCATGGGTCCACAGTCAGGAGAACAATGCCAGTGTAGCTCTGCCTCCTTTTGATGCCGTCCAGGACCATGCTGTGATACTACCTACTCTTAGGATGGGTCTTCCCACCTCAACCTAATTAAGAAAATCCCTAATAGGCCTGCCCACAGCCAACCTAATCTGGACCAACCCTCAACGAGGCTCCTTTTCTAGGTAATTCCAGATCCTGTCAAATTGACAATTGGAATTACAACCATCACTGAGTGTATCCTTTAGAAAGCAAAGGGAATGATATAAATGGCCCATAAGTCACCACAGGGCTTAGGATAGTGTGGTCCATTACTTGGTTGGACACTATTCAATCTGGATGCTTTGTCTTGAGTGTGTGATTTACCTCCTGATGGAGAGAAGGTATTTTTAAACTTACAAGGGTCTCAGGAGTGTAGTCAAAAGCTGTATGGAGTAGACTCATCACCCCAAGGCCTTTAGGCAGCACTCCTAGTAGGGCTGAAGGGGCCCTGAGAAGGCTGGCCTGGGTATAGTGTTTTTGGCACCAAACAGGTGGTTGTGTGCAGTGGAGGGCGTGGGTGTAGTGTTGCCAGATTATCCTTCTATTGCTGGATTCTGTGAAGCTTTTAATTTTTAAATATTGACAATTTATTTAACTTACAAACAAAAGCAAAACAAAACTATCTTCCAAACAGCTCACTGTGCCATCCGGGGTCTACAACTGCCCCTGTCCATTGTGCCTTGCAGAACTTGAGTGCCATCCTCTTCTTAGATTTCACCCACCTTCCAACTAGTTGTAGAAATGCCTTAAAGATCTGATAGGTGGCTGAGTGTGGCTGTGCAGGTCTCAGCAAATTGGAAGCCATCCTGGACTGTGTGACATCCTGTCATAAAAAACGGTGGCTGGTGACATGGCTCAGTGGGTAAAGTGCTTGCTATACCTCCTAGGTACACACGTGTGTGTACAGGTGGAAGAGGAGCTTCTGCCATGTTGCAATACACACTTACACGCAGTAAAAACAAATAAGACAAAACGCATAAAAGAAAAGGAGAGAGATTCTTAGAGGTGATGATCTTTTCACTCTTTAGCATCCTCTGGGTGGAAGAGCTTCTCCCCGGGTGGGTGGCTTTCCCTTGTTTGTTCTTTGCTTGCCTGTTTGTTTTGGTTGTGCATATCACCGTCAAGAGTGGTTCAGCTTTCCAGAGAGAAGGGTTTGGAGGATGACCTTTGATGTTCAGTTCCAGTCATGTGACTTTTCAACTTAATTGGACATGGATACAATGCTGCTAATGCCCATGGCCAGAGGGATGGCATTTGGAACTGAGCCAAGCAAAATAAAAAGCAAATCTCAGAAGCTATTCTCAGTCAGCAAGGATAAGCAGGCAGGGAACGTCTGGTAGGCTAAGGTTAAGGAGAGATGCTCCAAAATTGGGTTTAGAGAAGAGAAAGATGTTGGTGTCATTTCTATGTCGTATTGCTGAAATCTCTTTTTTCATTTTCTTCCCTGGTTGCTTTAGGTTTGAAGACACCACCCCTGATCACCCACTGGATTATGCCCGTGGCTTTTCTACCTGATGATTCTCTTGCAGCAGGCTGGACTTCCTCCACCTAAGCGGCCCCCGACCTCTCCTCCTATGTCAGTGGCTGCCAGGTCCACAAGGACCTTGCAGCTTCCACCACAGAAGGCTTTCGGGCAGGAGGCATCCTTGCCCCTGGCAGGGGAAGAGGAGTTAGCTAAGGGAGGGGAGCCAGACTCTGCCCTGGAGGAGCTCTGTAAGCCCCTCTTCTGCAAACTCTGCAATGTCACCTTGAACTCTGCTCAGCAAGCCCAGGCACACTATCAGGTAAGAAGAAGAAAGGGAAGTGACTGTCAGTGGGGTGAGCGTTCCCAGTGCTGTTTGGTTAGATGGTATCAGTGGGGTGAGTTTTTTTGGGTGCTGTTTGGTTAGATGATGTTACTGGGGTGAGCTTTTTGGGTGCTGTTTTGTTAGATGATGTCTTAGGGTTTCTTTTGCTCTGAAGAGAAACCATGACAGTGGCAACTCTTATAGCAGAACACATTTAACTGGAGGTGTCTTACAGTTCAGAGATTCGGTCCATTATTGTCATGGTGGGAACCATGATGGCATGTAGGTAGACATGGTACTGGAGAAGTAGATAGCTGAAAGTTCTACATCTGGATCAGCTGGAAGCAGGAAGAGCAATGCCACACTGGGCCTGGCTTGAGCATCTGAGACCTCAAAGCCCACCCCCAGTGATGCACAAGTTCCAACAAAGCCACACCTACTCCAACAAGTCCACATCTCCAATAGAGCTACTTCCTTTGAGCCTGTAGGGTCATTTTCATTCAAACTACCACAGATGGTGTTTGGGGGCTGGCTGGTTAGAGGGTGTCAATGGGGTGACCATTTTGGGTGTTGGGTGGAGAAGGGGTCAGTGGGGTGAACATTTTGGGCACTGTGTAGCCACAAGTTACCCTCCAGGTATGGCCAGTTGAGACTGGAAAACCCAGAAGTCGGGAAGAGAGTGCCATGTTTCACACAGTGGGTTCTGCCTAGGGATCCAAGGAGAAGTGTACTACATGAATTCAGTGTAAAATTGTTCTGAAGTTTGTACAGCTTGCATCAGTTCAAGGCCGCCTGCCACACGACTCTTGTACTTTCTCTTACTTCAGACTTTTCCTATGCATGTCTTTTTGTAGAGAGAATAATAGGATATTCAGTTATCGAGTCTTACTTTCCTCATAAACATCTTAGTTTCTTTCAGTCTTCTGAATGAACTGATGCTGAATATTAAGATGTAAAGCATTTTATCTCTATGTAGAATAGCTTGTGGAAAGGGCCATCATAAAGGGTATTATTGCCTGAGAATAAATGGGGAACTGAGACAATATAGGGTTTTATTTTGAAATTTTTATCTTATTTTTAGTTACGTGTTTTTTTTTTTGTGTGTGGCATGCACATGTATGCTTGTGTGTATGCATATGTGCACATAGATGTCTGCAGAAGCCAGAAGAGGAAGGATGGTATGTCCCTTGAAGTTGGAATTGCAGGTGGTTATGAGCCCCCTGATATGGGTGCTGGGAAGCAAACCCCAGTCCTCTGCAAGAGCTGCAAACACTCTTAACTGCTGAGCCATCTCGCCCCAGTATTTCTTTTTACTTTATACTGTTGTCTGTATACAGTTTGATGTTTTTCCGTTTTGGAGAAAAGAGACCTGAAGATAGAAACCCTCTTTGAAAGGAGGGTTATCTCCTAGACCACTGTTGATTTAGTTTTTGATCGCTGCTAAGACCACACGGCAGAAAGCTGTTGGTTATAACGTATTGCTACTTGCCTGAAACTGTACTTTTCTGTCGTGAACTTCACTGCGTTCAGGTTGACCTGACTGAAGTGACAGAGATTGGAGAAAAGACAGACACCCTTTAGAAAAGCTGGGATCCAGCAGGCAGTGATCTGATGGGAATGCATCAGAATGCAGTGGCCAGGAGACTCAGCTTTAAAGCAGAGAGGAGGTGGCAGCTTAGCTACTCTTGGGAGGGGGCTCCATAGGGGAGCAGCCTCAGGCTGCAGTCATCTTTGTGTTGATTCTTTCTGCACACGCTGCAAGCCTTAGTGCTCACATTCAGAGGAATCATAAGGCCCTACCCTGATCCGAGGCAGGCCTTGCCATTCCCACGAGTCTAAGGCCCTGCTATGCTTGTGTCAGTAAGACATTCATTCAGGAGTTCATCAGCTCCTCATTCTTTTCTCCACTTGAAAGTTTTTGTTTACTTAATTTTGGTTATAACGTTAATCCTAAAGATGGGTAATTGAACACTGTATCTTGCTTTGAAAATATTTCCTTGGGAGGAAAAGGTCTGTTGCTCTGCCTTGTTCAGGTCTGTCTGCTGCCAGCAGTTGAGCAGAATTCATTGCAGCAGACCTTAGTACAACCCTGGCTACTCAAGGTTTCTGTGTTTCTTTCTCATTTCTTCTGCAGTCTCTTCTCTCATCCCTGTGTGCTATGACCAGGTACTGGTGGCTGCTCTTCCATGATGGCCCATCTCAGACAGATAGGAATGTAGCTAGCCTCTGCTTTCATTCCCATGAGATGTTCCATCTGCGTAGAGTCACTTGAAGAGATTAAGGATGACTTGGTTAAAATTTGAGTTTTCTGAAGCCCTTCCTTCCTAGGTCTTTATTGGGTGTATGCCTGCTTTATGCCTTCTGTATAGTTGTTACCTTTCAGGGAAAATGAGGCAATGTGTGATTTGTTTTTTTTCTGTTTGTGTGGGTTATGCTTCTACCTTGTGTTGCTTTTGTGACTCTTGTGTCTACACGGTGACAGTACCTTTTCGTTTTTCATGGAGAGTTCAGTTTGATGGAGAAATGATTGGCTTTCTCCATAAGATAAACCTTTAGAAAAATTATACATCTCTATGTGTTTGCTCTAACCTTTTTAAGTTGACAAGATTTGTAACTCATTCCTGTTCCCTCCATGATGCGGCGAGTAAGTAAACTGGAAATTAAAAAAATGAGAAAAATTCTCCAATAATAAAATTTTCACATGGAAAAGTTAGGGGAGAAGTACAGTCTGTTGCAGAGCAGAAACCAAATAGCCAAGCATGAGAGAGAGAGAGAGAGAGAGAGAGAGAGAGAGAGAGAGAGAGAGAGAGAGGCGGGCAGGTATGAAGGATGCAGAACTTTTCCAGCACACTTGGGAGGTGGAGGGCAGGGGAGTAGGAAGCCAAGAAAACCCTCAGCTGCTGAGCGACTTTGAAGTTAGCCTGGGCTACAGGAGACCTTCTATCACCTCCCGCAATACCCCTCCAAAAAAGAAAGTAGAGCCTAATTAAAAAAAAAAAAGATGTTTGGGTATGACAGTGCATGTTTCTAAGTTAGCTGTGAAGCAAAGATTTGAATGAGGACAATGTTACTGGTGATTGCTAGGATGAACCTCTCCTCTCTTCCTTTAAAGCAAGGCAGAGGAGTTTGTTGTGTCTGTATGGTGTGGAAGAGGACAACCTTAGACGTGAACTTTGGATTGTATGTGCATGGCATGTGTGTTTGTACATGCTCCTGTGTGTGGGTGCACGTGTGTGTGGCAGTATTTGGAGGGCAGAAGTCCCTCTTGGGTGTTTTCTTCCATCACCCTTTACCGTATTTTCTGAGATAGGGTGTCTTCCCATACTCAGAGCTCACGGCTTGGCTAGTGGGCCAGTCAGAGCGCCAACGGTCTGCCCGTCTCCCTGCTTCCTCAGGGCTAGTCTGGTCTACACAGCAAGTTCTGGACTAGCCAGAGCTACTTAGAGAGATCCTGTCTCAAAAACAAGCAAACAGAAACTAATGTGAATGCCAGGATCCCAACTCGGGTCCTCCTGCTCACGAGCCAAAGGCGTTACTGACAGAGTCATCTCTCCGCTGTCCGAGATTCGGATTTCTTTCAGAGAAGTAGTTAGTATGAGAGTGAATCAAAGAACATGTAACCAGAGCATGATCACGTGGAATGGAGACGAACATGACCCAACACGGAAGGAAACCGTAGCAGTTTTAGCCTGGAGCCAGGAATGGTGGCCGCCGTAATTCTAGCATTGGGGAGGCGGAGGCAGAAGCGCCCATAGTTCAAGGCATTCTTGCCACATAGTAAGCCAGGAACTCCCGAGCATCCTGGGGCTGCTTGAGACCCTGTTCACATAGAACAGAAATGTCAGACTGGAAGATGGGTCAGTTTGTAGGGATCAATGGGTGGTGATAAAAGACAACCATTAGAGGCAAGGGTTGCCCCCAGGGGGTGGGGACCCACTAGGCTCTAGTGCAGGCTGAGGGGCAGTGGGCGCGGACTGGCAAAACCAACGGTTTACGATGAAAGGAGAGGGCAGGTGTCAAGCTTTATTTCAAGATGACAAACCTGCTTTGTGATTGTTGTTTCAGGGTGATATCACGGGCATACGTCTGTCAGTGCAGTCACGTAAGTGAAAAGGCCCTGGGTGGATACACTCTCTGAATTACCTAACCCTCTTTGGTGAGCTGATACCACTGAAATCGAAGCTTCCTATTGCTCGGTGTGGTAAACAGGCATTGTTCACCGGAGTCCGACTGTATCACATTCCAGTACTCGGGATACAGTGGCGATTGCTCTGTAAACCCTCCCCTCGGCCTCGTCTCTGTTTCTCCTGACATCTTGATGCTCCTGATCAGGGGCTGCCTTCTTGAGCCAAGGGTGGGCATCACGGACGGTTTATATTCCAGGCTGTTTAGCCCAGTCATTTAGCTTTTTAGCAGCCTCGGCTGAGTCATTTATGTTTAATGAGGCTATCTAATTTTTCACTTTTAAAATTATGGCTTTGCTTATAACTTAATTTAAAATCAGGTTTTTGGAAGAGAAATGAGTTTTCATTTTATTGAAATTTGTCTGCATGCTCAGATTACTTAGTGCAAGCCTGGCATGAAGAAATGTAATAGGATTTCATCAGCATAAAGAAATACCCAGAGGAAGAGAGTAGCAGGAAGTACTTTTACATTTATGTATGTGTATTTTTTACATTATGAGTGTGTGTGTGTGTGTGTATGGGGTCAAACTCAGGTTATCAGACTTTATCTGCTGAGCCATCTTGCATATAAATGGAGACTGCTCGTTCATTTTTCTGGCTGCCCAGACCTGAATAATAACACAGAAACTATATTAATCACAATATTGTGTGACCAATAGCTTAGGCATATTTCTAGCTAGCTCTTACATCTTAAATTAACCCATTTTTATTAATGGTTGTGGCCTACTGGTAAGGTTCTGGCTGGCTGCTGACTCTCCTTCTGCAGGCAGCTGCATCGCGTCTCTCTGACTCTTGCCTACTCTCTCTCTCTAT